ACTCTCTCTCTCTCTCTCTCTCTCTCTCTCTCTCTCTCTATCATCCCCGTTTTTCTTTTACGTCTTTTACGTAGAATTTATCTTTATTTCGCGACTGTGTATGATCGTCAATTTTTCCTGCGCTGCGTTTTATCGCGCGTCTCACAAACGTGTTGAGACGCGATACGTGCGTAAACGCTGAGAGGGGTTCATCCCCCTTCAGCACTTTGCAGCTTTGTCCACATGTCGAGTTTCGAGTGCATCTCGTCAGTGCGACAACTCGGGCCGCGCTCGGCAAGTAATCGAATCGAGTTTACGATCCGGTTACACGAATCGACTTTCGTTCGCGCCGTTACCGGGCGCGATATACACGAGGTCAATGGACCTTTTACGTCAGATGCAACTAGACCATGTATATGCACCGACCGTATTGCGGATCGAATGTATAGATAATAACGTATACGCGGAAAATAAATATATCATTCGCTCTATCGCAAAATCGAATGAAGATTCAGTTGCGCCACGCTTAGAGGCTCATTAGCGGCATGTAAATCCTTCGTTTGCACACACATCGGGATATCGAAGAGAATTCTCGAGTAACATAAAATTGTTTCGTGTAAGATCGAATATAACGTTTAATCTTCAATATTTAATCCGATACGATAAGCCAATTTTTATGCGCCCTTTTAATACTTTGTTCTGAAAAGAAAATACATTTCTAAGAACAATAAATACCGGTTTAACCGGTAAATCAGGTTATTATTATATAGTTTGTTGCGCAAACTAGATCGCTTATAGAAGCTTAAGATAATGCATAGTCCGCCATAACATAGCTTTAAATATAAAGGTATCATAACGGTAGCGTTATCAAGGGAAGATTATGGACTTGCATAAATGTATTAGATTACTAACTTGTGTACCCAGCGGGATCAACAGGGATTTGCAAACTATTCATCTATTTAACGCTTCCAATGAACTGCTTGTTCTGTAATCTCTTCTGTTACTTTCTAGTAAAAAAAAAAAAAGACGAACTTTATATATATATATATATTTTTGTAATCCTAAGAATACTTAACATTAAAACGTCTATCGTTAGCTCGATATTAAATTAAACGATATTAAATAAGTTTTAAATGGATCTTTTGTTTACGACTAAGGATTCACCTCTCCAGAATTATCCGAAATCGATGATCATCATTTTATTTATTCTATTTTTATCCAAATTCCTCTGCTCGAGAATTTCGGCGAAGAATAATTCGAATGCAAATCGATAGAATATAGCGTTATGCTCTCGATCGTTAGTCTAGACTTCGGATACGCAAGCAAGCGTCATTATTACTACTAATCTCCCGATCTTCCTCAGTTACCGTTACTATCGATAATCGTTGGGAAGATCGATGCACACGTAACGTCTTACGTATGCATGTGCAGATCTGCTGACATTTGAGTGCGCCATGTGCTGTTACACGCGCATTTGGTTTATCGACTCACGGCTTTCCGATCACACCGTGTCGTTCTAGAATTCTCATCTTTAACTCTACGACACTCGCAGAGTGAGAAAGATGGATCGATCGCCGATAGTCAGACGAGAGAAGTTCTATATTGTGATATTGAAAGAAAATAAGTCTAACTCGTCGATCCCGTTTATTTTTTTTTATTTTTTTTATTTTATTTTTTTTTTAGAATACGAGGTTATGCCCCTACTTTGATTAAACGCAGATGATTTGCTCGTTACCGCGGTGATCATTCTATGAGATATTCTACGAAATTCTGATAGAATTAATATTTCTGCTGCCGTTTCCGATTTCATTTTTATAAATATGGAATGGAAATATAGAATAATTGCTGCAGTCTAATGATATCGCTGGACCGATAATCGTTACAACTTTACGTATCAACCTTTTTTAATGTGTTTAAAAATGGCTTGGAAATCACCTGAATTAAATCGGTTTCTCTATTGTCAAATGTTGATGATACGGGAATTCTGACACGAACTGATTGTCTCGATGTCGCTCCTGCCCCGTTTATTAATATTTCATCTCCCCTGATA